ACTATATATATATATATATATATATATAGTGCATAAATTTTTATATTAAATATAAAACCATAAAGTCTAAAATTTTAACCATAAAATTAAAAATCTCAAATTTTAACTTAAAATAACAAAGTTCATAAAATAAAATACTCAAAATGATAGAGGCTAGTACAAATCACAAATGCGTCGATAATTTAGATTTCTTTCCATAGTGTCAACTTCTTCATCTTCATTAATCTCATCATTTCCTCCATCATAATCATTATCATTATCATCTTCTCCATCATCTTCATTTGTATTTCCTTCTTCATTGTCACTTTCTATAGTTTCAAGGACATCAAATTTATCTGCATGTGCAGTTGATTTAGCACTAGCAGTTTGCATCAAATCTTTATTTAAATCAGCCACATTTACGTGATTACCACCTGCATTTTCTTCCTTAGCAACATACCACCAATCGTCATCATCTTGGAAATCATCAATTGTTAGATCTCACTTTTTTCTTTCAGCCTTATTCTTGGTCAATCTTGTATTTACCATCACATACACAAGATCATTCATAGTCTTTTGTTTCAACCGATTTCTTTTTTTCGTATGAACCTAAAAAGAGGAAATATTAAATCAAAATGTATAACATATAGTAACTATAAAAAGTATATATGATAAATTTAAAAACATACCATCTTAAAAGCATTCCAATTTCTCTCACAGCCAGAAGAACTGCATGTCAAACTCAACACACGAATAGCAAAATTTTGCAATTCTGGATGTGCATCGCCGTAAGATTCCCACTATTGAATCAGTGTCTTGTTTTCTAGTCCACGTTGAACTATTTCACTTCCAAAGAACCTTTTTTTACTCTTAAAATTCTCAAGTTGACCATCAATTTTATTCACCATATCCATGTCTCCTCCCATCATCCTTTCTAAACATGCATACATTCCTTCTTTCACTTCATTATCTGCTTTGAAATTAGGTTTGTAATGCATCATTGGATTAAGATAATAGCCGACAGCATGCAAAGGCATATGCAATTGTTTGTCCCATCTATTATCTATAATTTTCCATAAAGGTTGGTAACTTAAGAAAGAAAAGATTAAAAGATTAAGTTAGTTCATAGATAAATACTAATATATTTTTTATATCAAATAAATCAATCTAAGATATTTTATAAAATTATACATTTTTTCTTATTATTATAGCTAATTTGTATTTCCTCTTTTTCCTGATCTATTACTTTATAGATATAGCCCATGGCTACCTTCTCATCAGAATCCACCATACGTAAGACTTTAAGTAATGGAAAAGCACCCTTAAGGCAAATAATCAAACTCTTCCAAAATTCCTTGTTTGTGACTATATTTTCAACAATTTTTCCATCTTTTGTCTTGGAAAATTGACTATTCTTCCATTGCTTGGAAGTGAACATCCTATACAACCCTCCCCTCTTGTCATTCAAGCAACCCAAACATATATATGATGTTGCAAAGCGAGTGATGCTAGGTCTTCTCAACTCACCTCCTTCAGTGTAATGATGTAATAAAGCTATAAGACCGGTCCTAGCATAAATGTAAGTTGTGATCTTTTTACCCGAAGCAATAATTTCCTTATGCATAGGTATCTTGCTCTCAAAATCCTCTAACATTAGATTAATGCAATGAGCTGCACAAGGTGTCCAATAAAGCTTATTCCTTTTATCCATCAACATTTGTCCAACCAACTTGTAATTTGCAGCATTGTCTGTTACAATTTGGACAACATTTTCTTCCCCCACTTTCTCAACAATATCATCCATCATTTTGAAAACATTATCAGTTGTCTTTGAAATGTCAGATGCATCAATTGATTTTAAAAAGAAAGTACCCATAGGACTATTGACTAAAAAGTTTATGATAGTCCTCCTCTTTTGGTCAGTCCATCCATCCGTCATTATTGTACATCCAAACTTTTTCCACGCAGCTTTATGCTCCACCAATATGCTATTTATAGACTCAACTTTTTTCTTTAAATGTTTACCTCGGATGTCATGGTAAGATGATGGCTTATATCCTTTACCATATTGGGCAATCATTTCACACATCTTTATAAATTCTTCATCTTTTACAACATTAAATGAGATAGCATTGTTGTAAAAATAAGTTGCAACTTGTAAGTCAGTGTCCTCCTTCACTTTTTTTTAAAAGCAGCATTGATAGTTGATTGAGAAGTTATCCCCCTCTTGAAAATATTTGCAAGACCTGAAGATTCAACTTTTTTTCTTTTACCATCTTCCACATCAACCACTTCTACATCTTCACTTATAGTTCTCTTCTTGATGAGTTTGCTTTGCAATCTATGAACAATAGTCCACATTTGTTTACGAACTTCATCTGGAACAGATACACAGGATTCGACATTACTATTTGTCCCTACTAAATGATGCTTAAATCGAAAAGCACCGCCGCGATACTCACTATGACAATAGTTGCACTTGATATTTCTTGATCCATCGTTTACGGGAGTTCCATGTTCCCATGCCACATCTTGTCTTTGACCAGGAGCATTTTTTGCAACTTTCTTATTTCTCACATTTCTAATAGTTAAATTTATTGGAGGAGGAAGTGACATACTACTACCAGTACCATCAACTATCTGTCTCATTAAAAAATTACGATAAATAACTTTGATATAAAAGATTAAAAAATACAAACATTTTTTGAAAATTAAAACATATAGTAATATAAAATAAAAAAAAGCAAAAGAGTGTAAAAAAATATTATATTTTCAAAAGAATTGCATTTGGAGGAGTTATATGTTATATTATATTTTCTTAAGAAGTGCAACTTTATACCGTATAGAAACAAAACCTATTGAAAAAATAAGTAGAAAGATACTGTATAGAAACAAAACCTATTAAAAAAAATAATAAAGTATAAAAAAATAAACAGTACTTTTAATATCTTTATCTTGCATTCGTTGTAACTTTATGGTAGTCAATCCTCTTCCAATTTTATGAGTATATTTTTTATTGTGCGTGTATATACTATTATTAAATATTTGTAGCATTCTGTAATCTGTACTATACATGTTTTATATTATTATAATATTATTATTAAGAACAAAAAAGATAAGCTATTCTGAGTCTCTGACTCTATACTATAGAGTGCTACTATACGATTTATCACATCACTTACAAATTGGTAAGACCAATAAATAAACAATATTAAAATATAGATACTAGTGGAAACGCAGCAAGATGAAAACTTACAACAAGATGAAAACGCAGCATACTACTACTACAACAAGATGAAAACGCAGCAACAACGAAAACAGAGTGTGAAAACAAATACAGAGTGCAAAAACGAAAACAGAAGCTTACGTCTTCTTCTCTGGTTGCGAAATTTTGGAAGCTTAAAGTCTTCTTTTTCGGTTGCGAAATTTTGGAAGCTTCAAGTTTATATCACTGCGACTAACAATTAGGATTCAGAGCTATTGAAAAAAAATAGGTATTTGCATATTTATAACCCACAAATTGTAAACCGGGTCGCACTTGACCCGGGTAAAATATGTGAGATTTTACTTTCAGATTTCGAAATCCATTTATTTCGCCGTGATTTCCGCACGAAAGTGATTTTGCTTGCGATCCAGATCGGTAGAGGTGATTGAGATCACAAAATTGTGCGATTTCACGATCTGGATCGCGATCTTAACAACAATGTACATAACTATGATTTGTGTTTAAAATTAGTCGACCATCTTAGTGTCTGTCAGCTCAAGCTGGAAGAGAAGGAATGTGTTGCTGACATGATCTTGAATCTTGTTCAATCGAAAAATATACTTGCAACATTGAAACGGAAATGACCGAAAAATATATCAAATATCAAGCAAGTGTATAATATTCGGTACCTCACTAACATGACGCTTAGGGGGATAGAACTGAGATGCAACAACTCTTGAAATTGTTGGATGATAACAGTTATGTATCTAGGTACTCAACGTGCGAGGATGGAGTTATTGTTAGAGATATTTTCTGGACTCATTTCGATTCCATAAAGTTGTTCAACACGTTTCCTACGGTGCTCATATTTGATTCAACCTATAAGACCAACAAATATATACTTCTATTATTGGAGATGGTTACTGTTACCTCAACTAAGAAGATATATTCTGTTAGTTTTTCATTTCTTGAGTGTGAAAAAAAGGACAATTTTACTTGAACCTTAGAGGTGTATCAGACACTGTTGAAGGTCTAAGGTAAGATGCGTAAAGCGATTACCGGCTGCGATACCACATTGATGAATTCAGTTGCAAAAGTATTCTCTTCTTCTTATTGTTCGAACTGCAGTAAAGCAGAAAGAAGAAAAAAATATAGTTTTGGAAGGATTCCCTCAGGGATTTATATCATCTCCACAGGGATCGGTGCAAGGGAAAGAATGTCGTTTAACGATCTCTACATTTCTAAGCTTGTTGTGAAAATTTGTTGATAAATCAAAAGTACCATAAATTAAAGCAGAAAATATAAAGATGGAAAATATAAAGTAAAGACTTTAAAATAAACGGAGCCTTGGGATTGGATCTCATCAATTGATAACACATGCATTCTTTTGACCATTTAACATAAATGAATCATTCGTCTAATATCCTCACGTATCACCCACAACAGAGTTATGTCTAACGCAACGTCGAGAGAATAACCGTGTTGCGGTGAGAATCAGATACCAAGCTATCAACTTAACTTGAATCACAACTCTTTGAAATTCACCACCGAGCTTTTATTTATCCAAAGAAAAGGGTAAAGAACGAAAAAAAACCCTAATTGCACTATAAAATAATACGGGAGATCTAAGATTCGGGGGTTGGTTATACCTAGGGAAAGTGATAGCATCCTAAGTATTTGTAGTACTCTACAGGAACCTCTTATTTTAATTGTGTTATTGTTTACCTTGAAAATCGGAAAACAACCGCTGATCTTCCAAATCTAACTTTGGTGACTCACATGATCGATCAGATTGATCCTAGGACATGTGCTAAAAGATTTTTTTTTTTTTTTTGGTTTTAAGAATTTATTCAAGTTCCACACTCGAACATTATTGGGGTGAAAGAATCCTAAAGGAACATCTATTCGACTACGGGTTAATTTAAAGATAAAGTAAAGATTTCAATAAAAGAGAAGAAAGTTTGTTGGTAAGGGTGAAGTTAGATTGAGGACGAAGAGAAAAGAATTGCATAGGAAGGAGAGAAATAAGGTAAGGAGGAAAAAGGGTAAAGACAATAAAGACAATAAAAGGCTTTGTAAAACTTAAAGTAAAAGGTAAATTGCATTAAGTTAAAAGATGGTGTGTTTACATCACGTACACTCTCTTACAATACTCGCTTTCTCTACACTCGGATACTTGGAATAATTTTAAGAGTAATTTGTACAATAGTAAATTACAACACACTTTGGATATGTCTAAGACACCCTATTTATAGTAACAAAAAATAACCTCTCATAACCTCCACCATAATCTCCTTCCGCCACTTGTCTCAAATGCATGGATCTATTACTCACAAGGTGACACGTGTCTCCCTCAATTTTCCACAAGCAAAACCGTTTCCTCAAATATTCAAATTTCAAATACTTCGACAATCCATTTGTCTCAGCAGGCGGTCGAACTCTTGGTTTTTGGGTGAGTTCTTCGACTTAGCTATTTTGCTTCTTTCGACCATTTTCTTGTATTCAAGTTATTTTCCACCCTTTTGTCTTAGATACCTTCTTTCTAACTGAGACGTCGAATTTAGGAGCTAACAAATTGCCCCCCAAAAATGTCTTTTCAACTTCGACCGTGGAAAAACACATTTTTTGACAGCGCATGACCTTCGACGCCGCTTTGCCCCCATGAGTGTCGTCTGATACTCTTTCCACCAATGTAAGTCTGAGAAGTTGAAAGGGAATGAAAGAGAAAAAGAAATATAGCTATGAACACGCAAGCTACTGTTCCGCCACCTTGATGCAAGTTTATGACGTCACTATCATCATGGCTATTTTCTCGGGAATCAACAAAATCGTGGGGCATCATCACCTTTCCAACCTCGGGGACGTGAATTGCAACTACTGCCTCTGCCATCCTGTCGCGGTGAAATTTGGATACCAAACTATTGATTAGTTTGAATCGTTAATTCAATTTGCAACCGAACTTTGATTTGTCCAAAGGAAGGGATAAAGATCGAAATTCCCACAATGCAATGCAAATGCAAGGTTTAGAGAGTTTAGGTTCGGGGGTTGGTTAAACTTAGGGAAGGTGCTAGCATCCTAAGTTTCTGTAGTGCTCTACAGGAACCTCTTGTTTTATGTTGTTTATTGCTAAGTGTTATCTGCTTAAGGGATTTAAAGACCCTAATGGTTTATTTCTAAGTATACTCGATAAGATGTCGCATCTTATGCCTACATATCCTTACGGGAGTGGAATCAGAGTATGTTGTAGTTCACCCTAAAGGGTTAGAGAAGTCCTTTGACTGTGGTCAAAGTTCCTACGGGTTTAGGGTAGTTGTTTTGATTGGGTTTAGGAGAAGAGACGAGTCTTCATATTAAGGGAGAGATAACCACCACAAATGTAAAGGGGTTTGTAGGAAATGGTCTTTGCATCGTCTTAAGAAAAGGTCTTACATACTCGGATGGTCGCCAAGTATGCCTTTATCGCTCTTAAGGCAAAGTCCCTACATGTTTGATTGTATTGTTGTGGGGTGGAGATTATACCTCGCTTAAGATGATTAACATCTATTCTCTATTGTGTTTGAAAAGTTGTATTGTGTTGATTGTTTTGTTTCTATGTTGTGAAGGATAAAGACAAGGTCCTTCCTATAGGGTAGGATCTATCTTAAGCGATCAACTTGAATGGGATCAAGGATCGAGGGGGGAATATGATGCAAATGATGTGCAACTACACACAACGTTGAATTATGTGTAGGTTTTTCCTTTGGACGGGATGTAATGTGATGCAACAAGATATAATGACTTGCGGTGGAGATACATTGCAGAAAGTAAATTGCGGAAGATAAAACCATGCACGAACGCATGAAAGCGCTAGGTGAGTGTGTGCATTGTGAATAAAATAAAAGCGG